GCCTTTGTGTGTGGGGGGGAGACGGGGGGGGCGGGCGGGAGGAGTGCTTTATTTTGTGGGCCTCTGGGCTCTGGGTCTTCTCTCCTCGATCACCTTCAGGCCCTTTTTGCTTCTTCCCAAGACGCTGAAAGAGGCCACGGAAAACGCCCGGCTGGATTTCCAGCGGGAAGCAGAGCTGCTGACGGTCTTGCAACACGAACACATTGTCCGTTTCTATGGGGTCTGCACGGACGGGGAGCCCCTCATCATGGTGTTTGAGTACATGAAGCACGGAGACCTCAACCGCTTTCTCAGGTGGGCCGTCCGTTGAGGAGGAGGGGGAGGCTGGGCGTCTCCTCCTCCTCACTCAAGCCTCCATGTGCCCAGAGGAGGAGGAGGGCCACCAGCACCCTCTGCCCTCCCTCCGGTTCCCCTCCGTTTGATGTGCGCCCCCCCCCGCAGGCAGCAGCCCTGCAAAGCACGGGCGGCCTGCGGGGGGGTGGGTGGCCTGGAGCCACTGAGAAAACCGAAAGGCAGGCCTCGGGGGTCCCAAAGGGTTTCCTGCCGTGGGCTGGCCACTGCCTGGCACACACAGCTGGGCACAGAGGAAGACAAACCCAGGCCAGCCCTGGTGTGGGTGCAAGGAGGCGCGCCAGCACGGCCACCTTTCCGAGGCAAGAGGCAATCCCGCCCTCCGGTCCGGCCAAGCACCAGGCCGAGGGTCCGCTTGGCTCTCACTCTGCTTTCTTCCCGTTGCTGTTGTTGTTAGTGATGGCGATGATGATGATGATGCAGCTGTTGCGCAGAATTGTCCCACGCCGGTCGTCTCCTCCTGTCATCCCCCCTCAAACACCCTCCTCCCTGCTCCATTACTGCTGCAGCTTCGCCTGCCTCCCCCCCTCCCCCCCCAGCTAATGCAATCTTCCCTTGCAATATTGATTAGATTAGCTGTCTGAGAGGCTCAAATTGAGGGAGATGGGCCATCAGCTGGAATAAGCAGAGGCTCTTTCGATTGGCCCCCCAGGTATTGCCAATAGACAGGGCTGCCAACGGCCGGCTGCGCATCCCTGGGATGAGCGCGGAGACGCGGCTGCGGTGATGAGACTTGGCAGTAATGGCCGGGCTTTACGGGAGACCTGGGCTCCTCACCACCACCGCCTCATCCGCCCCGTGTCAGCTGTGCTTTGTGCAAGTCCCCCCTGCCAGGCGCCAGGGCCGCTCCATGGGGTGGCCCTTCAGCCTGGTCTCTCGCCAGCCGGGCGCATCCTAGGCGTCCCCGAGTCCAGGCTGCAATGCTGCGTGCGGGCTTCCGCTGCTCCCCAGCCCCTGCCTGGCCCCCGAAGGGGGACGCCACGTGTCGGGAGGTGTGTATGCGTTCCGCACGCTCCTCTTCCCTCCCTCCATGCCGGCTCTGAGCCCCGGCCCGCTCCCCTCGGTCTTCCCTGCAGGTCCCACGGGCCGGACGCCAAGATCCTGGACGGCGGGAGCGGCCCCTCCTTCGGCCAGCTGACCCTGGGCCACATGCTGCAGATTGCCGCCCAGGTGGCCTCCGGGATGGCCTACCTGGCCTCCCTCCACTTTGTCCACCGGGACCTGGCCACCCGCAACTGCCTGGTGGGCCACGGCCTGGTGGTGAAGATCGGGGACTTCGGGATGTCGAGGGATATCTACAGCACTGACTACTACCGGGTGAGCCTGCCCGTCTCGGCCGCCTCGCTGGTGCCTCTTCTGGCCACGCCAGCCACCCTCACGGGCTCCCCCCCCCACAGCTCCCCCGGCCTCCGTCCACCCTGGGGGCCACTCACGGTTCTGCCCTCCCTGCCCGCCAGGTGCCTTCCTCCTTGGCACCTTGCTTCCCCCCCTCCAGCCATTCGCTCTTCCTTCCCCCCCTCGCCCCCCACCAGTCCTCCTTGGGTGGAGAAGAAACAGCTCAAGACACTCGCTCAGCAGCCGGATCCCCTTCCTCGGCCTTCGTTTCAAGCAGCCCAATGCCAGGAGAGGCCACTGGCAGGGGGGGGGCGCCCAGGCTAGCATGAGAGCTGGAGTGGGTCAGGGTTCAAGTCCTCCCCCAGCAGTGACCTCGGGCCTGAGGGCCAGGTGCCTCCCCC